TTTCAATCTTATTTATTTCAATTCATCTATATTTGTTCTTGTTTATTTTTTATTTAGTGGAAAACATTAGATAAAAATGGTGATAGAAAAATTACAGTTGAAGATGTTCAGATAATGCTTGAAGAGATGGGTCTTGGTTTTCTTAGTAAATATGTAAGTCAAACATTGTTCGATATGGTCGATTCAAATCATGATGGTACACTTCAATTCCGTGATTTTATTGCATTAATGAGCATAATTAAACAATTAGTGGGCGCTGTTACGTCAGCGAAAGCAAATGCATAAAACTGTTTTTATTTTTTTTTTTGCCATTGTATATCAATGTTTTCTAAAATACTGTATGAGAAAAAGTTTAGCTTTTCTATCACATATTAGTCTTCTTCTATAGTAATACATGAATGACTTTAAACTGTATTCACATTTATCATTGATCGATATAGATAAAGTTGTCATTGAAGATAGACATCATTCGATTGTGGTACTCCCGTTAGATTGTGAAAACAAGCAATCAACTGTATTGATACTTTTTTTAGAAGAAGTCTTAATATGTTCTGCAAGAACAGATTTTGTTTTAAGATGACATTTGATGACACTACCGATTGAAATATTTTTCGATCTATTGTAACAATCATCATTATCAATAAATCATTGAAGTGTGTTATGAAAAGAAATATAGATGATCTCGAATGAGAGATTACTAATGAAAATAGATATGTAGTGGGAAAAAATGCTTTGAATAATACATTCGAAGCAAAAAATGTATTCAGAAATTGTGAAACTTAATTAACTCTGAAGCTAAACGTATAGCATATTTAATAATTATATAAGAAATTCTCTCAAAATTTACAAAGAGCTATTAACATTGTTTGAAATACCTTGTTGAATTATATGAATAGTTCTACAAAGTATTCGAAAACCTACAACATCTTTATAAGCAAATATCTTATTGATGATTATATTTATTAAACTTTATTTAGATAGTGTAGCAGATACTTTTGGTATATTTATTGCATACAAAGTTCTGCATTAAAGTGAGAAAAACGAGATAGTAATAAATAACGATTCATATAGATAGCTATAAAATTAAAAAAAATGAGGAAATAAGAAGAGATTCTTTCAAGTCCATCCTCTTTCAATCCTTTAAAGAAGATTCTATAGAATGAAGTTTTCCTTTCATCAGGCAGATGTATAAAATTACTATTTCAAAAAGAAATTTTGGATCAAATTATATGTCTTCACAATATCTAAACCGTTTGTGTCTCTTCACATTTGCTTTGTTTAGTTCTGATCACTTATTCTAAGTTCTTATTTAATCATAATCAAAATTCTCTTTACATTATAACATCGCAAAAAGCTGAATACAATATCGTTTTCTACCATGAATAATTATATTCGATGTCATAAAGCTAACACCTTTACGTGAATATGTATGTTGTAGGCCAACGTCATTTGCTATTTAATTTTTAAAATTTCATTTCTTAATGCAGGGCCTTAACATGACCTGTAAAAGAAATAATAATGTTGAGAGCTTCTGCTGATTGACTTTTGCTTTCATGCAAATGTATCGAAAAAAAAATTACATTATAAGTGATTACATTAGTTTCACGTGATTATTAAGGTCATGACGCAAATATACGTCGATGGTCACCAAATTGTTAAGTTCCTAGAGAAGACAATCACCATTCTAGCACAAAAAATACATAAATTGAAACAGAGTCATCCACTTGGTTTTTTTTTTCGTTGGAACATAACTCAACAAAAGTTATCAACATAATATATTTATATTCAATATATCATTTATGAATCACATTCAACTAGAAGGCAAATAAGAATATCAACAAAAAAAAATCATGACTGAAAAAGCATAAGATTAAAAATCTTTTCTTTTTTTTGTTTGATTGGACCTTACTAAGACAAACTAAATTTCTATCGAATATATTCGCGAATTATATTCAGTTTTGTAAAAATAAGGTTTACGTTTTACAAAAATTGATGCATCATCTCATTAACACATAGATATACGTTCACATATCTTAACTAACAATCCTTATTCTAATATTGTGATTAATATGACAACCAAAGTAATAACTATTCGATGAACAATAAATGTCAGTGATGTTAACAACGTCATTTTCTTTTTGAAATATGTTTCTTTTTATTTCTCTTCCTTTTTGAATAATAACTGTGACGTTATAAATATTTTGGCATACAGCCACAATCCAACTCGATTATATTCGTGTTTGAAACAAAGTATGTACAGTTTCTTCAAAACATAATTATATCATTATTTTGCCATACAGTTTGTCTTTTCTTTCTGGAATTCAGCTCTTTTCATTTGCATGGTATTACCAATGTGAACAATTATATATGAATAAAGACGCCTACAATAAAAAAAAAAAGTCTCATCCCTATAGAGTAGTTTATATTATTTGCAAGATTTTAATCATTAACTATCGAAGACATTTGAATATTATATAACAAACAACAATAAAACTACGCAAAGTGCATTTCTGTTGATTGTAGTTTATAAATTTATTAAACATTACTCATTGATGTTGTCTATTAGAAATGTAGTGACGTAATCATAAACGCGTGACATGCTTTCGAATCCAATCTATATAAGGAAACGAAATAATGGAGAAAAGATTTTTTTTCCTACTTGATGTTTTTCTTTTATTAAAACATTCTAAGCATTTTTTAGGGTCTTCATCTATACACATGCTGTTTCGTTCTCAATTGTTTGTAGCAATTTTATTATTGGTGATATCAATCGATATTTCATCTTGTATTTGGAATTATAAGTCAAGTCCATTGACAGAACAAGAATGTAAAGAATGTAAGAAATATCATGAAATTCTTTTTTTGTCTTCTTATTCAATCGTTATTTTACTTTTGTTTTCTATGAATTATTAGATTTTGCATCAAAAAATTTGTTCAAATGTGCTGTCGCAATAATGAAATGTCCCGCAAGATTTCGAGTGAGATGTAACAGATCCATCTAATCCAATATATATTTTTACAAAAAAACGTTTGGTTCTTTTAAAACAAGAATAATAATATGGAGAACAAGAACTCGCTTTTTTTTTTGTTTACAATCAAAAATAGATCCATTTTATGTACATGAATTTTAATCGACATCTATTTTGATCTGTTGCTCTTTTTTTTTCTTGCTTTTAAATTGTAAAATATTTTATTAACTAATTTTCATACATTGAATTAGCATGTTTTCAATAAACAATTGTTGAATAAGATAAAATAATGAATTTTAAAAGGAAAAAATGAAACTTTTCATTCATTCATAGTCCGTTTTGCTTTGATTCATGGTTTCTGTAACGTATGTATGATTATTTGAATTTAACAATGTGTATTTCATTAATCGTTTTCAAGGGAAGATTTTAATTTGATTTAAAATCAATAAATGGTTATTGTGATCGGTTTTCTTAAATAATTTTGAATAGAATTTGATTCAAGTATATGTATAGAATATATGTCCATGTTTTCGAGTAATTTTCTGCTCAATTCTTTCCATACCTAGAGAAGTTTTTTCAAGGATGTTTAAAAATCTTGTGTTGAATACTGGAAAAGTCTTGTTCTCAGAACGTTTTATAGTCAAATAGGATCCTTTTTAGGATTGATTCTCCTGCGTACTATACACCTTGAAAAGAATATTAGAGCGAGGATCTTAATAAGAATACTACAAAATCAATTAAAATAATCAAAATAGAGACTTTTGTCAAGTTTCAATCAGGACTCTTTTTGGATCTTTTTCAGACTTAGCGTTTCAGATTCTTACAAGAGAAGACTAACTATGATCAGAATTTTAATGAGAAAAAAAAGTTCGCGTTAAGATTTTTGCAGGTTTTTCTTTACAGTCGAACCGATATTTGATCTTCCAGTTTCAATCAAGGTTTATAGTTGATCTAGTTTTAGGATCTTGAAAAAATGGACAAAACGTTTTGATCAAAATTTGAGTGGTCTCTTGTTCCGAACTTATCAAAAACTATCAATTCTTGGGGAGCGATAGTATTTAAAATGTTGATATTATAAAAACGAAAATTTCGGGGTTTCGTAGAGTTTTGTTTGTATTCTGAGAATTCAACTTCCTATAAGGATATATTTTTGATTTTGACTGAGATCTTTATGTAAATAAATAGAGAAATTCTGTCGAAAGCTAACTAAATTTTCTTTTAGATCTTTTCAAAAACATTCAATAGGATTTTGAAATTTGAGCCTTAAAAATCATTTATTCTTTTAATTTTATACCTGAATGAACATTGAAGAATTAATAAACTAAGCTTACTATATGTTCAGTTATTACACTAGATTTTATATTAAACAGCCATTTATAGTAAAGAAAAATCTTCTCATAAAATGTGTTCTCAATTCCAATCATATGTAACAACAAAAAAGGTAGAAATGTTCTTTTTTTATTGGATGAACTTCAAGAAAAAAAGCTGTGGTAGCTCTGATTAAAAAGCAACTTTTTAGAATGAAATATTGCATTTTCTCGTAATTTTTATAGAATTGAGTTCAAGTTAGGTCCAAATTGAATTTATATTTCTTAATATAGCAAAGTCTGACCGGATAAGATGATCGATTTGTAAAATGAACGTCTACAAATCAATGGTCGATGTTTCGATTATACTTTTGCTTTGTGTAGAACATTCTGCAAAGGTCCTTTTTCAAATTCTTCAAAAATCTATATTATTCGTGGCTACATATTTCTCTCAATATATAATCGTGTTTACAGAAGTAAATAGCGAATCTGTACAAGATCTTTATTGAATCTGCCCAGGATCTAGTACAGAAAAGTCAACGATTTTGCTTAAGACATAAAATAAAACTGTCATTTACGACGCAGCATTGTCAAACACGCTTTATTAAGAATAATTTATTTGTAACAGACACTTCTGACATAATAAATGTGATATTAGTTTTATTAGTCCCTTATGAAGATCTTTAACGTTATAACTACAAAATTGATAAATAAAGAAGAAAAAGAAGTTTTGATTTGACATGTAATTTCAATACATTATATTGCCGTATGTTTTAAAAATAATTGAGTCTTTTTGATGATTTTGAAAAATTCTAATGTTCAATTTGAAATCTAATTACTGATCAATTAAAGTATATGATATATTTTTCATTGCTTTCTTCTACCTTTATTAGTTGGAACGACATGATTCTTGCAAGAGAATAGATATCAGTCAATAGTTGCTCATTAAAAAAAGACTTCGTGAAATTTATACTCACAATATTAATCTGATTTTTACAGAATTTTCAAGCCGCAAACATATAGTTCAAACGTTGCACAACAGTATTATGTAAAGTAATTGACCTCATAGTAAGTGTCACAATTCTAATCAAACTTTCTTAAGAATTATTTATCTACCCGGATCAACATGGGCGGTTTATAAAAGACAATAAACTGATAAAATGCGTTAGTTTCACGGAGACTTGATGGTTTTTGTCTACCTTTATCAGTTGACAGCATGAATACGAATATATATGATGGAATGCTTTATGGCACCATTTACCTAGCGACGTTTACAGTTCGATACCGAACACCTCTATACCGTTTTAAGTCATTTTTTATGAAATGCTCAAAAATAAGTTTATTAATTATATTGATTGATACATTAAATAGTTTTCTATTTTTCCTCATTAAAGATAAGCGAATTAATGAAAACTGAATAGAAAATGCTATCGTATATACGTATATCACTTATGTTTCTCATTGAAATCGAATTGCGACGCAATTACGCCGTAACTGCGATCACACTGTGACCCGTAATGACGGGAAATGACGATCCAGTTACGTGTAGTTACGATGACAAAATCGTTATTGCTAAAAAAGAGACGTCATAGATAAATTTCGTTAATCACAGCGCCATCTATATAAACAACAATAAGCAGAGTCAAACATTAGGATAAGATTTAAAGTTAAAATATAAATATACACACATATCGCACTATCATTTGGTATAAAAAATTTTAACAGCTTCTATTTTCTAATAATATATTAGCACAATCATGTAGATACATATCGATGAGAATATATAAATTATTGAGGATGTACATAAAGCTCATTTAGTTTTTTTTTTATATAAAAACTATTTGATTAAGGTTTCTCGGCAATATATGCTTCAACCAATCTATTTTAGATGTATTTTATCTCATATTAACAGCGTCCACTAATCAATCTCTTTCTGATTAATATGATAAAAGAAAATGACGAATTGCATATCAATCTAATAATACTCAGGTAAATTAAGCAAAAATATTTTTTCGTTTACACAAGAATGTGTTGCCGAAGATAAGCATTACTCACACATAAACATCATACTGCAGCAAAAAATTGAGCTTGATAAAGAGTATTGAAACATTCATAGTTGTATGTAAAATGACATTTCAATATTGTGTATAAAGTTCTAGTTTTTATTGCAGAACGGCGTTTATGTGTGATGAATGGTTATTTTGGATAAGAAATACTTGTTTAAATGAAAAAATATCTCTTTCTTAACTATCTTCGTAGGAAGATCGAAATACGATAAGGTCGCTAATGGATATAATAGTGTATGTTTACAAGCATTTACTGTGATAATACATAGTAATCCACTCGATCGTACTTTATTCATTAAGTTAGGAAAGATATCCAAATACGGTCCGAATATCTGCGCTAGATAATACAGACTGTAAACGAAATGTATTAATCCCATCTACTAACGTACATATTCCGTTTTTACAACGTTTAAGATCTGTTTTCGAATTGTAAACGATACTGTTTTGATAGATCTAGCTATCAATACAAAGGTTGATGATTCATTATATTCACTGCTGAAATAATACATTTTGATTCTTTCTTCGTTGCTCTTTTTATCAAATATGATAAACCACGTGTATTGAGACGCTGTCTTCTTATCTTTACCTGTAAAGTAATCAAACACTTTCAGATATTTATATCAATCACATTATATTTTTTTTCTCATTTACAAACAAATGGAAAAATTAGCAAATATTACTCAACAAGATATTAGTAATGGTGTACTTAATCGTATGCTAGCTAATGCAGGTATTCCTGATGTTCCAGAATACGTAAAACATTTTCATCAAGAAACAGAAGAATTAATAATCGAAGAACTTGAACATCCTGATAGCAATAAAGCAGATAATGATGAACCAATAGCTTCACCAGCCGACGTCCAAAGTTGGATCATAGGTTTACGACTTCGTCTTGATGATCCAATTCAACCACCTTTACCTAAACAACAAGAACCACAAAAACAACAACCAACAGATCTCAACACTTGGATGCAAGGTATGATACCTAATGATACGCATCCTTCTACGGACAATAATGTATCAGAAATAATCACTACCTCTAATGATGATGATACTGTAACTGGTAATCTCGGAACTTGGCTTAACGATTGGTCAAAAAGTCTTTGTGAACAACCACCACCAAAGTCTTTAGATGATTGGTTACAAAGTTTAGTATCTAATAATATGCATGAACCAATTGGAAAGGCAAACACTTCTAAAGGTCGATTAAATAGTTATTTGAATGCTGCTGAAAAAGTACTCTCTGAACATGGCTATGATGTTTCAAATGAAATCAAACCTTCTACTAATGTTGAAACTAATGTTGGAATGTTTGGAAATGTTAAACAAATGTATTTTCTTGTAAGTTTCAATCTTATTTATTTCAATTCATCTATATTTGTTCTTGTTTATTTTTTATTTAGTGGAAAACATTAGATAAAAATGGTGATAGAAAAATTACAGTTGAAGATGTTCAGATAATGCTTGAAGAGATGGGTCTTGGTTTTCTTAGTAAATATGTAAGTCAAACATTGTTCGATATGGTCGATTCAAATCATGATGGTACACTTCAATTCCGTGATTTTATTGCATTAATGAGCATAATTAAACAATTAGTGGGCGCTGTTACGTCAGCGAAAGCAAATGCATAAAACTGTTTTTATTTTTTTTTT